TGTTTATATGTCAATTGGATCATTGTTTTCTGGTTTAATTTCGTGCTTAATTGATTGTATGATCATTGGAATGATTGCACATTGGATAAGTTGCTGAAAAGCGCTTTTAGGCTGCTGTTTTCTGCTGCTGATACAGTGTTAATCGGTTAACCAATTGGTTAATCGATTAACCGATGTTAATATTCAAATTTTCCAACATTTTTAAGTGGTTAATCGATTAACTCTTGGTGTTAATCGATTAACACTGTGCCAACAGGTCTGTTTTGCTGTTTTTCAAGGTTGTTTTGGTGCTCTCTCACTTTGAATCTTCATGGATCGATATGATGCATTTGGAGTAAGATGTTTTGGATATTGTGTTGTTGTTCTTGATTGTTTAATCATGATTTCTTCGACACGTGGTTCGATTTCCACTTGAATGCATGCTTATGGATGTGGTTCAAAGTGATGATCATTTGCATTGTTTCCTTTGCTTGCATTGCTTGGTTGAGATGTGCTTGTGGTGGATGTTGCCCGACACTTTTTCCTCCCACTCTTCTTTGCATCTTTTGTGTTTGCATTCCTTCTTGCATCTCTACTTGTGATTGAATTGCTTTGTGTTTACTTGGTTTCCGTTGCCATGATCCCTTAGGATCTCTAGTCCCTTTAGGAGTAGGGGAGACATTAGGTGTTCAATCCAAGCATGCTAACATTAGGGTAGATTTTCCCCTCTTTCGATCCCAACTTTAGGGTCATTTTGCATGCTAACATTAGAGTCGATTAGTTTCCCCTTAGAGGTCATGTCTCTCTTCTCATCTCAAAACACATTCTAACTCATTTAATAAATACGATGAATGTTATACGCTACGAGCCTTAAGCACATGGGAAATGATGAATGAGGGGTCTCCTCTCGCTTGTCTAGAGTGTTTAGCATATGTCCTTTGGACGATATGCGACGCATTTGTTCATATATCATAGTCTTTAGTGCAACGTGAATCACAAATCAAATTAATTCAATTCACTAAAAAATACTAACAAAACCTCAAACTTTTTATCCTTCGGGATTAATTGAAAATCATTTTTAGAAAAGAGTGTTGTTAAGTCTTGGTTCTACCGCAAACAGGCATCGTCCCTAACTGCTGGAATGAAGGTTTAACCATACTCAATTAAAACACTTGAACTAACCGGTAGTCGTGTCAGCCCGAACTACGTTTGCTCTGATTTCTCGTACCGGACGAGGATACGTAGGCACAAGATGGCGATGTCTTGGCGAGCAACCTTCCCCCTTTCACCTGTAGTTTTCCGAACTACGTTGACTCTGACTTTCCCATTACACGAGGGAATACGTAGACATAGAGCGACGATGCTCTATCGAGTCTCTTTTCTTTTCTTTTATCCTGTGAGCTTGTAGCTTAGATAGATTAACACACCCTTTGATTAGACAACAAGCATGGATCCCGTTGAGTACAACGAACGTGAGGGGTGCTAATACCTTCCCCCTGCGTAACCGACTCCCATACCCAAGATTTGGTTGCGATGACCTTGTCTTTTCCTTTTTCGTAGGTTTTCTCCGATCGTTTCCTTTCCCTCTCTTTGGGATAAATAACGAACGATTGCGACTCTTCTGTCTTTGTCGACCCCTATTCGCAGCGATGCGACACTAGTACCAAAGTTCTTGTAGTTGCATCTGTAGAAAGTGCTGAAGAAATCACTCAGCAGACAAATAAATTGTCGAGGGAGCAGCAGGGCTCAAATCTTGCTTTAGTAACCAGTTCATTTGAAATTGTTTAGCTTGATCAAGAACTTGTATCTGATGTTTTTAAGAAGATGTCTTCTGACATTGCTTCTTCTAAGATGGTTCCAGAAGCTAGTACAACTGTGAGAGCTAATGCTGATGATAGTAACAAAAAAGGTTGTGTGGATGAATATATGGTTTTTAAGGGTCAAGTTGCTAAAGAATGATTCTTTTCAAGAGAGCTTGTGACTGTTGAAGCTACAACATGTGACTCTCTTGAACCTTTGTTTAATTCAAATATGAACTCTTCTCCATTACTTAGAAAATCCTTAACCCTTCATCCTCTGAATCCTCTGAACACACACTTCCTTCATTTCCATCAAATAACCTAGCTTTCATAACACACCAAACTTCATTTATGGCCACTCAACCTTTGACCATACAAGAACAAATTGACCTAACATACATTCAAAGAATTCATAATCCATTCACTATGGTAGAAGTTATCCCAGAGCATCCATCAAATGGACTACCTTCCAACCATTCCAATCAACCACCCCTGCTAGTTTCACCCCTGCAAATTTACTTTGTTGATCCTCCTCCCTCTGAATACCAACCCTCTAATTCTTCAGAACAACTGACTTAGAATTAACTTGATGTTAAGTCTGAATATGTTATATCTCATGAACCTCAACATGTGATTGAAATTGAACCTTAAATTGAGACTATACCTGAACCTCAACTTGAACCTCATCCCGATCCTCCGATCAAAGAGACTGCTACTGTGGAAAAAGCTAGCTTAGAACAATTCTATGGGATTAGAGATATCTCTTGTCATTCAGAAGAAATTCTCACCCCTCTCTATCACTCACCATCACCTATTTCTAACCCTAACCAAATCACTCCAATCCAAATCCTTTCTCAAATAGAAGAGTTTATAGATGTATTTTACTTTAAGGTCAGAGAGCTTGTCCTTAATAGGCATGCCATCACGATTTTTGTTGCCTATGCTTCTAGATGGGATGCTTTCAGATCCTCTGTTGACTTTGTCGTACAAAATCTAAAAAGTTTCTCATCAAAAGTTGTTGCTTCATATAGTCAAAGGCAGACTCGACTTGAGGCTAGATTATATTATATTGCTAATTCTCAAGCTCATATGGGAAATCCGATTCAAGATATGAGCTCTCATATTTCTAACCTTACAAGTCATCAAGAATCAGTGGATGCTCAACTCAATTATGTGATTGCTAAACAAAAGGAAATAAGTTATAATCTAAAGTTTATCACGGAGCTTCTGAAGAAACCATATGCTTAGGTTTTAGATCATGTTTTATTTTTTATCGTTTGCATCCTCCAAAATGATTTTATTTTATTTGAAAACTTTCTATCTTGAACTTATATCTGTTATGATTTGTTTTTTTTTCTAAGCTATATTTATTGGGAATTATTATGCCTTCTAGTAAAAAAAATTTAAAAAATACTCTTTCCCTAATTCTCTTTACTTTAGGCTTAATTGGCTGAGATGTTTCTGAAACTTCTCTATCGATAGATTGTTTAAAGGAACAAAGAGTCATTAAAAATACTATCTTTGCATAAAAAGTGATTAAATTTTCATTAAAATTGTAATAAAAGTACAAAATGTTGTTTTACACTATTTTGTCTACATCATCTGTCCAACCACGAGCTACAAAGGAGGCTACCTTATCCACATACGACTCTTCATCTTCATCAAATTCAAAGTAGATGATTTTCTTCCTCTATAAAAGGAGTTAAAGATTTGAAGGGAAAAAAACCAAGCATATAAAAAGAACAACGTTGTGCAAAACTTTGAGCTAAAGTTTTTATAACTGTTTACTGCACACGTTCTTAAGATTTATTATCTACGTATACCTTAAAAATCTTAAGTGTTTAAAATCTCTGTGAGTGTGTGTGTTGTATCACTTCTATACTTCTAATTTTATATTAAATGTAGTTGTTATCTATTCTCTTAAACTATTTATTTTGAGTATAGGAAGTCTCTTACTTGTTTGTTTGAGCAATGGAAGTCTCTTACCTGTGTGCTTGAGAAAAATAAGTCTCTCGCCTGTGTGCTTTAGCAGAAGTCTCTTGCTTCAGTGCTTGAGCAAAATTATCTTTCTAATGTGATTGAGAAGTTGAAGTCTCTTGCTAGTATGCTTGAGCAAAGTGTAGTTAGCTTGATTATAGTGGAAATCTCTTGTTGGACAAGGGGAATGAACTACTCTCAATTTAAGAGAGGGATCTGGATAACTCTGTGTGTTACTTTACTTCTTGCTTTTGATTATTATTCATTCCGTTGCTAACAACTCTAAGATCAGATTCTGAAGTTGGTTTTCCAGAAGTGAAAAAGAATTCACATACACAATGCAATCCCCCTGTTGTGTATTTTTCTCACCTTTAAAAGACGAAAGTGGAGAAGAGATTTGAGATGTAGAAACCTCTACTTGTATCTTGTTTGCTGTGCAATTTGTGTCAATAATATAAACATTGAAGACGGGTATGGAAAAGTGATTTGAGATTTGGAATCATTGGTTGTTAAAAGAAACTACGACAAAGATTATGTTTTGGGAGAAAAAGATAATGGAAGTGAACATGTTCCTATTATTACCATTCATAATAATATATTTTAAATAACTAAAAAAAATCATGTTAAATAAATATATACAACTAGATTGACACGTCCGCAGAACTTAATGATTTTCGATAAAATTTAATAAAAATGACCAAATCGACTAACATAAGTGCTTTTATGACCAAATCGACTAACATAAGTCTTTTTAAGAAACTAAGGTATAACGTTTTTTAGTTAAAAAACTAAAGTAAAATATTAAATTAAATTAAGAGACTAAATAATTTTTTTTTAAAATACAAATAAAAATCGAATCCTCAACTACACACCTACAATTGATATATTTTTATAAAATTTTGTAAAGTTAATATATTTTAACGAACTTTTATTTCAAGTGTTGAAAAGGTAAAATATAACATTCAAAGTGAGAAATATCGATTTTTAAAAAAGTAGAAGAAGGGTGTATAAGAAAAGTAGTGGTACTAGTGTGCAACAAGCAATTCATTGACCCAAAAATCCAGATCCAAAGAGTAGAAGAATGTAAAAAAAAAAAAAAAAAAAGTTCACAAGAGAGACGTAGAGAGAGACAGAGGCGCATTCTGGTGATTGCAGCGTCGCGAGGTTACGGCGGGGAACAAACTCCGACTACCGACACTATTTCACAATTAACAGAAAAATTGTTCTCAATCGAGAGGGAAACGAATGGGGAGGAGGATACTGAATGATGCGTTGAGAACTATGGTGAATGCTGAGAAAAGAGGGAAAGCTATGGTGGAGCTTAAACCTATATCCACTGTCATCTCTTCCTTTCTTCAAATCATGAAACACCGCGGTAATAATTGTCCTACTCAATTTCACTACTATCACATTTTTTCCTTTATATGATTGAGTATGAAGTTCATGTAGTACTCTATTCTTGATTTATCTGTTTTGTAGAATTTCATTAGGATATTGTTATTGTTAGCAGGCCGCGACAAAACGGTTTTGGCCATACCGATTCTGTTATTCACCGTTTTTATGTTTAAGAATAAATTGTGGTTAACTCATTAGGCGGCGGCGACAGCAATTGGTGTCGCGACACCTGACCGAAATTGCGGAAGCCTTTACGTGTGACCGCAGCACGACCGTGGCCGTTTTTTAGAGTAAAATCCTTTTTTTTTAACATGGAAATCATGCTACCATATATGCCATGTGTGTTTTGGTGTGGGGATGCGGTTCTAGTTCATGAAGGTGATTGTTGAGGTATTATAAGAGTTACTTTCAAGAAATTGGAAGGGTAGTTATGTAGAGTTGTTAAGTTTAAGCCCTGAGGGAGACAACTTGTTTTTGATAAATGAGCTTTCAATACTGACGCAATACTCTAAATATTTTCTGTGAAGTTGGAAGAATTTCTATAGATGCCAGATATTTTTGAAGGTATATATCATCTCAATATCTTCTAGACAATACTCTAAGTATATCATTCATGTTGAGAATTTCAAATTCTTTGCATAGTGTCTGTAACCGAACTCGCTCACCTTGGTAGAACCTTGGTATTTTTGGCGCAGAGTCCCAAAAACAGAAAAAAATTTCTAACTGTTGAGGGCAATGAACTCAACTAAATTCATGTTCAATGCCTTTTAATAGGCTAAGAATCATATTAAGTTTGAAACTAATCAAGTTACAAGACACACACTGGGAGTGTAAATCAGTATTACACTGACATCTAATATGAATTCACCATGTTACTTCATATTATTAATATTAAGATTCAATTAGAAGTCTGATGGAATATGAAATATTGGTTCCTCATTTGGTACATGTGTAAAGTTGGTTTACACTTACACGGTGCATCTCTTTAATCTTGTTTTTTTTTTGTCATACAATTGAGAAACTCCAGGAGGTAAAAAGGTAATTTGAACAGGCCATTAGTTGATTATCATAAAAATGGATTGTTAAGTTTTATTTGGTAATTGGCTTTGAGGTTGTTTGTCTTTCCCTCTGACTGGCTATTGCTGATTGTTATCCCTATTGAAGTTAAAGTTATATGTATGGTTTGGCTTATTTCTTAATCTTTTTAGGAGAATGGTAACGAGGGTGAGGGTCATTGAGGTAATGTCTAAGGAAACAGAGTGAGAAAGTGTATTTTGTATTGAAAATGCGAAAAACATTTAGTTCTTGTCGAAAAACTATCCTACGAACACCTGGCCCCAAAGTCATTTTTCAATATATAAGCATTGAATGCTCTAGTTTCATTTAAAAACTATTTTTTTCTTGATTTGTGAAAATGACCCGTATTGAAAAGTTGAATTGATGCATAGTGAAATCTTTTTTAACATTTGGTCAAACATAAAAATTAGGCAAGACTGTTATGGCGGACAAGTGATACAAATGATCAATGGTGGACTAAGTCTGAATGTTGGATGTTGAAGCTATTTGATCTATTTATGACATTTTTGCGAATATATGGTTCTATAATATATGGTTAAGCTAATGCATATATGTTCAATAATTTAATATTTTGTTTGAAGTAGTATACCTATGCGATACTTGTTGACAGCTCCTGCATAAATTGAAAATTTTAAACATGTGCTCACTGCTTTTTCCAACTTGTTTTTGGTATTGATTTTTATGTTTTGCTTAAGACCTTTGATTTTTTTTTTTTTAAATTGTTGATCAATATTTCATGAATTTTGAGTATAAAAATAAATTAAGAGTATTGGTAATCCTGGTATGCTATACCCTGTTATAGTGGTTTTGCGATTGTCCGATATATGTTGTTATCCGAGATTGATAACTGTGCTTTTGTTCCTTTCCCTGTGAATGAATGGTGGCATCTGTGGTTTAAGCATAAGTTAAACAAACACATTGAACTTGTGTCACTCCTGGTATAAAAAGTTAAGATGGTTTTGATGGATTTAGTTTATAAGTGAACCAAATGAAATTGCCCTGTAACCAATAAAAGGCGATAAAAGGGTTACTGGTATAAACAAGTGTGAGGTGTAGGGGAAGAGGAAGAAAGACTAAACTACATCTTATTGCATTAAGTGCTGTTGTCTTTTAAATCTAAAAGGAAAAATCCTTTTTTGAAGTATGCTCTATCATTCCATAATAATGTCAGAAGTTTGTCAAGTTAGAGTAGCGTATGTTTGGTTTCACGGTTGGAGCTCTTAGAATTGAGTATGGATGTGTAGAATTAATTTTGACATGTTTGGTTGCTCTTGGGTAGAATTAATTATGTTTTTCTGAATTCATTCTAAGATTTGTAGCTTTTGAGTATAAACGTGATTTTTGCATTTAAATTTACTGTTTAAATCACACTTACAAGAATTTATCCGTACATAAATCATTTTACCTTCAACTCACTTTTAGTCCAAATCAATTTTACATAATCAACTTACTTTGAATCAATTTTTTCACCACAAAACCAAATATATGCTTAGTATAATTTTCAAACATATTTTAGTCCTATTATGACTAATTTTATCCATATTTGAGATTATTAAGGATTGTTATGGTGTTTTCTACCATTCTCATGGACTACGTAGCACTGTTACTTTGGATTGAAGGATTAAAGACGTATTTGATCCCGGACAACTACCCATGTGATTGCATTTAATTAGTTCTATTTTCTCAGATTATCATCGGTGTCAAAGATGTGTCTGTGTTAGGACTTCTTTACTAATGGATAAAATCGGTCTCTATGTTTTTTGTTGGGAACTATTTTCGAACAGTATTATCATTTGGAGAAAAATGTTCTTTATTTCGTATGTCTATGCGCACGCGTGAAGCATTACCAAAATCCTCCGACATGGTCTAGTTGATATTCCGAGAATGACTACAATGCAAATGTAAATTTAGCTAATTTTGTGTCATTCATTATCATGGTAGGATATATCAAGGACTTTCAGGTCTATGATCCCCATAGAGTGGGGAGGATCACTGTTGAACTACAAGGTAGACTTAACGATTGCAAGGCCCTTACATACCGACAAGACCTAAAGGCAAAGGATATTGAAGCCTACAGACTGCGTACTCTTCCAACAAATCAGGTTGGTAATGCTTGTTTTGTTTTCATTTAGTATTATAGGATTATAGCAATTTGACCTTTTTGAATATGGAGACTGCTGTTTGTATTGGATGCCATCTTTTATATTTCACTTTTTCTTTTAAAAGAAAGCACTTAAGGAAAAGGATAATCATTTTGTTCTATTTATCTTGATGCAGTGGGGTTATGTTGTGATTACAACCCCCGATGGTGTTTTGGACCACGAAGAGGCCGCGAAAAGGAACGTAGGTGGTCAGGTTCTTGGTTACTTTCACTAAAGTCGTCCTTTACCTTGTTATGTTAACCAGTGACTGCGTTCAGCTAAGTTTCCCGATAAACTCTCAAAGGATTTGGTGAAAGAATGTTTTATCCAACAAAGGTGGTTTTGTTTTCTATTGATGCATTGTGTTGTACGAATTTTGTGGTAGTTCATGCATGACGAGTGTGATGCGTTGGATCTCATGCCCTGTTTTTGTTAAATAATAGACTAGACTTGAATGGATATCATATCATCGTAGTTTGTAATCTACTTTAAATATATAGTGGGATTTGTGTAATCTGCAGTTAGTTCAAGTTCATACATTCTGCACGGTATTTTTCTTATTTGTTTTTCCGAAGTTGCAGTTTTGGATATGATGAAGAATGTATCTAGAGGATAATCAATGTTGAAATTTATTTTCCAGCCTTTGTCAGCTAATGGATATTTTAATGTCCAGTCAATTGAAGACCAATTAGTTTTACTAGATTTTTTCTTGTATTCAATTTTGCATATTAAAATAGATGGCCTTAATCAACAATAGTTGCCATCCGATTTATGGTGCAAAAAAAAAAGAGGTTTTGATTCCCAAAGAGAAAGGATTAGAGTATTACTATCAATGAGTGTATGTCCTTAGAGGTGAGGGTATGCGGCACAGTTATGTATGTTTTCAGGTTGTTTGATTTTTAGAATGATGACCACTTTAATATGTAAGGTGATTTAAGCGCCAAAATCGTAGTTATGCAAGTGGATGGTAGTAGCTGGCTGATTAGTGATATTAGAAAGCAAATAATCGACATGTTTGTTGAGTTACTGAACATCGATAAGTAGTCCAGTTTGATGTAGCTAACTGGGACCATGCATTCCTGTTTGTTTGTATGAGGTCAGTAGAATGTTTGTGATCAGTTCATCAAGTTCCTTTTGCTGATCATCGTTGTATTATCAGGGATTGTAGTTCATAGACAATCATCATATGATGTTGCGAATGTAATTTTGAGTATACATCAAACCATAAACTGTTTGGAGTTTCAATAGTCCATGACCAAACCCATTTTGTGCACTCTCTTCAGTATACTTTCTGGTAATACAACTTGAATATATATATGTTTGGACGAATGATGAGATCGACAAAATCACAATGTCAATGTCATTAACAATCTAAACATACACTTAGAAATAAGCAACTCCATAGAAATCATTTGAAGTAAAGACATGTTTCATTGAAGCGCTAGCATTTACAAAATATGTTTGCCTTGCTAATGCAATGTTGAAAAACAATTCCTATTAAGAATAACTATTGATACAAAATAGACACTTTCTTCGCTTACTGCTCATTATACTTGAGTTAATTAACAGATAAAGGATTATGGTGTGGTGTATTAGGCAAGTTTATAAAGCTATGAGTCCAACTTTGTAATCAGTGTTTCAATTAATCATGGATAGTCCAAAAGATCATCAAAAGCAGTAATACTTTGAAACCAAACTGATTGAACTGCTAAATGCATTCACAGTTAAAAGGTAGGAAAAATTGCAGAGAGGAAAACCAAATACAGAGGCTGTTTCATTGACTGATCTCTAATACAATGATTAGCAATATATAAAGAGCCCAGGGTTGATTATTGTAACTGATTCCTAACTACCCAACTTATTCGTTATGCCATAGCATACACATTCATGTTAGTTCTAGTTGCTAGATTGAGAACATTTAGTAGGGGAGTGTAATTTTCTTAGACCATATCTTGGACTATTGATCATAACTCAATATTAGGAATCAAATTAAATCAGCGAATGCGCCTGCATATAGTGAGTCCATCGCCTATTGAAACAAAAGTAAGTTCCAGACGCGAATCCCTTGAAATTGCTTCGTTGAAAGCAAGTGTGAACCTTCTCCATTCTTTTTTTGGTTCTGAAACTTCCATTTCTGGTAAGGCAACAGTTCCTCCCCAAAGTGTGTTATCATAGGCAACAATCCCACCAATCTTAACCAATTTGATAAGCCTCTCATGGTAATTCCAGTAGTTATTTTTGTCAGCGTCAACAAAAGCAAAGTCAAAAGTCCCTTCATTTGCAGGCTGCACCAAAACAGAAAAAATGAAATAAAAACCATAATTGGCCAGTGAGATGCAGAGATACTTTGTAAGTTGCTTACATCTTGTAGGAGTTTATCAAGAACTGGCAAAGCTGGAGACTCTATGTAGTCAATCTTGTGCAAAACAGAAGCCTTTTTGATGAATGGAAGTCCTATCTCATATGCTTTTCTGTCTGGATCCAAAGCTATAATCTACACCAACATCAGGCAAACAAAGAGAGCTAATAACAAACTATAAATGATACTTCTTCACCTTAGAAGAATACAAATATACAAACCTTTCCATCACGAGGAGTGTTAAGTGCGGTGAGGAGAAGAGAGTATCCGGTGAAAACTCCTACTTCAATTGTCTTTTTAGCATTTAAAAGTTTCAAGAGCAAGGCCATTAGCTGACCCAAATCAGGCGAAGTGCCCATGAAGCCGCTGAAAGAGTGAAAATTTTGGCATTGGAAATCAAGTTCAACAAAAATGAATATAACAATGTCATACTACTTTCATGTTTCAGACATTCTTGTATTCTTTATAACAATGTTATTATAAAGAATAATTACAGAGGATGATTTGTGGTTGCATTCCTTAGCTCTCTGAGAATATCTGCTTCTCTTGGATAAACGCTGGTTTCTAGTATATACTGTCACAAAACTAGTGTTAAAGTAGGAAAATCAATCAAAACAGTCACAGCAAAATGACTGGCTTCAAAATATATTTATGAACCTTGAGTAAGCCCTCACTCTTCAAAATAATTGGATTGGGGGAAACTGCTGGCTTTGATATATTGTCCATTTACTTCTCTGCAACCCTTCACGCTACTAACAATAGCATCTAAATCAAAGGAATAAGTATAGATAGATTTTTCAATGAATATGATTTTGTTCTTATATAGGATCTTCCATGCAAAGAATGCTTGACGGTTCATGATTTCCTTGTTTGGATTTTCAGTCATCACAATCTTTTCATGGTTTCAAAAGACAATTCAGGAAGCCTATATTAATACTTTTTACAGGTTTAAAAATAAATTGTCTCTACAAATATTTTTTTAACTTTTAATTCATGTAAAAAATTTGTTTTGTTTTTTATCATTGCAAAACACAGTTCAAAAGTAAAGCAAAATTTGTTTACAAGAACAAGAAGTAAACTATTCTATTAGAGAATAAATGTACGAAAATAGTATATTTGCAAAGATTAAATTAAATATGCATTTAAGCTTTATTGAGGGTAAAAAAATGAAATCAGAAACATAAATCAAGAACAAAATTATCTTGAACGGCTAGAGATTTCAGGGAAGTGGGTGAAAAAAGAATTTTAGTATTATAAATGAGGGTTGATAGTATTACTATAAGAGTATAACAAATGTCAACTCAACAAGGCCACTTCCAAGCCTTATATACATAGGAGGCAATGTTTGATCAGAAATCCAAATTTTATTAGAGCAACTTGTACAACGAGAGAAAGCTCATTTGATGTTTTGAACGCAGCAAAAAAGAAGAAACAGTTGCATCATTTCAAAAAGTAGTGACAATTATTTAAAAAAATTGATGGAGCACCATTGTTGAAAAGTCGCACAAATCGCAAGGTCCTTCCCAATTCAAGTACAAGGGGGTTATTGAGGCTTATCAAAGTTAACCACCAGTTACTCAACCATGTTTTCTCAAAGTAAATAAAAATCAGAATAACAAATTGCCATGCGGAATGCCCATATTTGAGTGTATAGAACGACATAGCGCCTATGTAGGACTGCAAAAATCTACACTTGGAGGTGACTATTTTCAGACATAGTAACCGGTGAAAGTGAATCCCCTTCCAACAATCTCACCAGCACAAAACCATGCATAGATTTCCAAGCCAAACAAAGCAGCAATGCCTGCATCTTCAACCTTTAAGTCTTGTTTGTTCCTCCATAATTGCTTGACATAATCAAGTTCCTTCTTGAAGGCCTCACGACGTCCAGGAATGCTGCAAAGTATATACCAGAGTGAGTAATATATAGATAGAGAAGAAGAAGAAGCTCTGAAAACAAAAATTGGCTTAGAACAGACTTGACAGATGCATGTATTTGACATTTGATCAGGAAGAATACGTCTTCATCACATTTCACTGTGATTTACTAAAGATTGTCGATAAGTATAGATATGTCGCACAGCTTAATAAGCACAGCTAGTTTGAAAATGTTGCAATAGAGTGCATAACCGAAATTCAAAGTTCAAAACAGAAACGGGCTTCAGCACAAAATCTACAAGCGGCATGTTATTAGCATTATTGATATGGTTATCTACATTATTGTAAATCTTCGCAACTACAATTTAATCAAACCAAACAATGATAGAAATATAAAGAAAAAAACTTCAAACATGAAAATATAGTTCTGGGCAAATGTCAAGAAAAAATATATTAACCAAAAACAAGTTCCTTTTACTTTAAAATTCATAAATCATGTTGAGTGTTTATTTTGTGGTGATCAAGAAAATTACATGCATTTCTACACTCCCTAGCACTTACAATCATTTTGTTTTATACCAACCACAGCAAACAAAAAAATAGGACATCCTAAGGCATTTTTGGAAAAAGGAACTTATGTGTTTGAACTCCCAGTAGAAAGTCTCAGTAGAAAGTCTCAGAATTTATTTTTTTCTTTTCTTGCTAATGGGATTCTTGTAAAAAATAAATAAGGTATGTTGGGTTAATTTGGATTATTGATTTTGTTAACAAACCTTGGTTTAACTAGAAATGATAAAAAGTAGCTTTTGCATTGGATTGAAAATTCACACCAAGTCTTACATCAAGTTTGTATTTAAAAAATATTCAAACATTAATCACTTTAATTCAATCTTAATTTCAACCTAATCAGTTTCTTTCAAAATCATTCAACCAAACATAGTTGAAAAAGAAAAGAATGCTAGACTTATATTAGATATTAATAATAATACAAACGAGCAACGCTTTTTCCTGGGGTAAACTACATGTGATGTCATAATGGCTTGCATGAATTAAGTCCAATGACAGTATTCTGAATTTGAAAGAATGTAACATAAGAAACGGCGGTCTGCACTTGAAAGTATTCTGCATAGTTGACATTCGCAGAATATATATTGCCATACATTCTGTTGCAGGAAAGGCACTTAGGGGTTAAATATAAGTTGGTTTACTAATTACTATGATATGTGAGTAGAAGTCGCATCAACCAAATGCTGCAAAAAGGTATCAAACATCAACCAATGTGCTCATCCAAAGAAATTATTGGAAGCAAAGACATTTTCATTGAAGCACTGGCATATGCATAATATGCTTGCCTTGCTACTGCAATGTAGAAAAACAATTCCTATTAAGAATAACTATTGATACAAAGTAGATATTTTCTTCACTTACTGCACATTGTACTTAAGTTAACAACAGATAAAGGGTTATGGTGTGGTGTATTGGACAAGTTTATAAAGCCTAGGAGAGTCCAACTATGTAATCAGGGTTTCAATTAATCATGGGTAGTCCAAAAGGTCTTTAAAAGCAGCAATAACCAAACTGCTCACTGAACTGCTAAATGCAGTGATTTACAGTTAAAAGGTAGGAAAAATTGCAGAGAGGAAACTGAATACAGAGGCTATAAATAGTCCTTGTTAATTAAACTTTCATTGACTGATTTCTAATACAATGATTAGCAATATCCAGAAAGCTCAGGGGTTGACTATTGTAATCGATTCTTAACTACCCAGCTGAAACAAGCTAACAACTTACTTCTGTTCTTAGGGAAAGGGGATGCATGTAATTGGGAGTTCGACAGATTGACCAATGAATGATTATTTCAACCAAGGATCACTCAGGCACTCCTGATCAATTTTACTTTAGCAGAAGCTCACTAACCACTTGAGGCCACCACTTGGTTAGGCTAATAGTTTAGTAATAACCAATTTAGTTAAGCTTACAGCTTTACATACATATCTCAGACAAAGGGTTGAACTATGATCAAACTACTGATAAAATAAAATAATCAGAGAAAAGAATCATATCATATATATATATATATATATATATATATATATATATATATATATATATATATATATATATATATATATATATATATGGATTTCTATAACTAGTTACTGGACTTAAATTTAGCCAAGGAATATATTTTTCAATAAAAAAAACTGGTTTTGCAATCTGTCAGTTCTTTTTTGGAGTAAAAAGAATAGATTCTTTAAGAGGTAGTTTTTTACACTTACAAAATTGATGGTGATATTTATACTATTTTGTTAGTTGAGAACAGTTGAAACAGTGTCTAAAGCACCGCACCTAAGTTTTTTCATATTTGTTTGCATTTAAATGCTAACTGATTGTACAGTGTAGTTCAATCTGGTTGTGTTACAATGTTCAGGTATTCATTTTGAACATTAAATCAGAATTTAGATTATACCTGAAAATCTGAGATAGACATCTTCAATGTGTCTCATCACCTAATTATTTTATGTAAACAACTAGCAATTACTAATACCATTATAAATGAAATACAAAAGTAAGCTGCTTCACAACATGATGGTGACTGTCTACTATCTATGAAGCATGGACACCTCTAGGAGTAGGCGTGTCGCAGTGTCTGACACCATCCATACCACACATGTCAGAAAAGTCAGACAAGTGTCTCCCAAAAATATGATTTTTTTTTTATTTGACACTTCGAATCAGTGTCCAACACGCATATGACACTCATACAATTCAAACAAGTGTTACATTAAAAAAAATGTTTTTTTCTTTGCTTAAACACACTTTCTTCATTTCAGGAACAAATTTCACACATCTAAAATATTAAATGTATTAGTTTGATTAGAACATTTTTAAATCTTGAAATAATAGATGGACAAATGAAACTCAAATACTATAATATATGTAACAGTTTCGGTGTCCTATATTTTTTACATTATCAGTATCAGTCTGTGTCGGAATCCGTGCTTCATAGTCTACTACATTTTTTTAAGTTCAAAACATGCATTTTCGGCCATGAAACAATAAGAAATTGGCAACAAAATCAAGGTAGAATTCAGAATGACAACAATATCAACGAAATGGAAAAATAATGGACAACAACCAGCATATACAAATAGAGAATTATAGCACAAAATCCAGCTAGCTATATATAACATAATTAAAAGAAATAAAAAATAAAAACTGAAAAAGAACAAAGTTGGATAAAATATAACCTAGCAAGGCGGGTGTAGAATAATTGCTTTGACAAAAGGTTGCATTTCTCAATTGTAGCAGGCTCCTGAATGTACTCTTTGTTCTGCTCCAACAATTGCTTGTAGTAAACATTTCCATGCCTGGATATAAATTGGGTTGCTTGACATGCTTTCGATTGCAACGACTTCAACTTCGACGCCATCAAATCTGCAGCAGAAAACAAAAAGGCCAATGTACAATATATCAATCACTCAAAACATATACTAACCAGATTCAAAAAATATTATAACACTCTTAATCCATAATTATCATTTAAAACAACCAAAATTATTCTAATCGATGATAATCTATATGGACTTTATGGATGCAAATTCAAAACACTAGAAATTCTCAGATCTGAAGAGGAATGTGAAAGCGATAACAGTATCTATAGGATAATGAGATCTGAAGAGATTGAAAAAAGAACGGAGGAGAAAGAAGAAGAAGCGTTACCTTGTGGAGTGAATGAATACAGTAATCGGAAATTGTTTGCCGGCGCCGCTACTGCAACAACAGAGGATGCGGCTCTCTATGGAAACTCAACTCTCTAGACTCAAACCTTGTGTGCGAATTTTCGCTTTTTTTTTGTTTATTTTTGTTTTTGATAATACTTGCTTGAGCAATTCAGTCTGGATTGTTTTTTTTTTAAACAAAAAATTCAATTTTTTCATGAATATATTAAAAAAATATATTTTTTTAAATATAAAAAATAAAATAAAATAAATTTAAAAAAAAAAAAGAAAAAAAACTTTTGGTTTTTCAAAATAAAAAAATTTGGATTCATGGATATCCATCCATTCAAAATATGTTAATGAGTGAATTGAATGAATTTTATTCTTAATTGATGAATTAGATTGAATAATTTTAAAAATATTTTAGTAGATAATGGACTAATCGATTGTTTTGATCCATCCGTTAACAATTCAATCCATATTCATCAAATCCATCCATTTTGTCACCCATAATAATAACTTTTGTATAATAATATTTTTACAAAATTATTTGGTATAACTACTTTAGTCAGTGGGTCTCTTAAATTTGAGCGAAGTTTCGCTTTGGTCCCCGAACTAAAAAACGTTACATATTGATCCTTTAATTTAAGTTCTGTTAAACACTTTGGTCCCTTCCGTTAGTTTGTGACAAAAAACGTTAGTTTATGTAAGGTGGCATGCCAATTAAGATTCCACATCAGCATATGTATATGTTGCCTTACGTAGGGTTCATTCTTCTTCTAGTTTCTTCTTCATAGGGTTCACTGTTGCTGCTTCATTCTTCTTCCACCGTCCTTCTTCGTCCGTGTTCCATATTTCAACCTATTCCATCTTCACCTTCAGTTAAAATCCTTTTCTTCCAATTTCCTTCTACTATCTTCCAGTTTCTTCTGCAATTTGGGAATTAGGGTTGAAGCAATGTCAAAGAGTGCAAGTAATGCGTCAACTTCAAACAATCATAACTATGGCACATCTGGGTCTTTGATTCATAGAAACAAGAGGATCGAGTGCTTTTGCCAATATGAAATTGTTCTTAGAACAATGTCAACAAACGGAGAAAATTCTGGGGTTGTAGAAATTACAAAAACCACATTGAAAAGGATTGTAATTTCTTCAAGTGGTTGGATGATGAGTTTTTTTATGAAAGGGATTTGAAGCATAAAAGACAAAAGAAGAAAATTAACAGATTGAAGAATGAAGTTATGTACACTCGAGGGTGGCTCAAAATGTCCATTGTTGTTGGGATTGTAAGCTTAGGGTTGAACCTTGTGTTTGTAACAATGTATCTCAATTAGTTTTAGGATAGTTCTAAGTTATGTTTTTATGTTTGTAATAATGTACTGTTATGTTGTAACAAATTGATGAGTTTGTTTAATGAATAATGTTCTGTTATGTTGTTTCAATGAATAATATTTGTGTTCTGTTTTCACATTTTCATTGAATAATGTCTCAATATCCAACCTGTAAAATATGCAGCCCAATGACCAATATTTATGGATACAAATTGTAATATAAATTGTTCAAACATGTTTGACACATAACAGGTTCATTGAGTAATGTCTCAATATCCAACCTGTAAAATATGCAGCCCATTGAATAATGTTTCTTAACAGGTTCAATAAAATGTTTTGATACATAACAGATTCAATAACATGTTTGATACATAACAGGTTCAAAAACATGTTTCAAAGTTTGATACATAACAGGTTCAATAACCATTCCAACATTCAATAACAGATTCAATATTTGATACATAACAGGTTCTATAAAACAAGGGAATTATAAGGTAATGCATAACATGTTCAAATACTAAAAGGCCATTGTAAGGCATTACATATCAGGTTCAAAACCAAAAGGCCATTAAAAGGCAATACATAATAGGTTCATATACCAAAAGGTCATTTTAAGACATTACATAACAGGTTCTATACCAAAAGGCCATTAAAAGACAATACATAACAGGTTCATATACCAAAAGGCCTTTGTAAGGCATTACATAACAGGTTCAATGATCGCGACTTTCTATGTCTAATACAACTAACTGCAAGTGCACAGTCTATCGCATAGTAATAATAGATATCGATCCCACAGGGACTCGTAATCAAACTAGTGTTCTCGGGAGTTACTATGTTTAGCTGGGTAGAATATGTTTAAGGGAATAAGATTGTCACTAAAAAGGGAACTAAGATTACTATTTAGATTATAATTAATTGAATCGATACGTAGTAATTGTGTTCTTCAGGGATTTGATAAATTACTGGTGTATGAAATAGTTTTCAAAGTTTATTTAAGCAGAAAATAGAGATTTGAAAACTCTCGCCTCACGATGGTTATTGACGCTAATCATAATCCTAAGGGCCAAACGTACACTTTCGTATCCCGTTCGGGGTTAAAATTATTTTTTGGAAATCTCTAAGTTCTAATTTATTTTAAAGTGTTTTCGCTGTTATTAAAACGAATGCCTAGTGTTTACTATCTGACCTTACCGCAGCTTTCGCTTGTTGGTTTGTATCTTAATTAATTTCCCACTTTCGTGGCAAAACTACTTTTAAATAAGTTCTCGCTTTCGCGACGAAGTTTATTCAGTAAATCAATTTTAAACACTCAGACCATAAATTACTTTTATGAAAAGAAAGTTTTCCAACCAGTGGTTATCAAATCCCATTCGAATTATTACTACATATCGATTACCTAAGTTTAGCTAGACATGGAATTGGGAAAAACAAAATATAAATAAGAATAATAAATAATAATTTGCATTATAATAAGACAGAAGTCGATCAAAATGAAAATCTGTAAATATGCCAATTGGCCTTTGGGCAGATCCTCCACAGATGTTGGCAGGATTCTGGTCTTTAGTGCCAATTTGATCGTACAGTACAATAGAAATTACAGAAGAGCGGAAATGGGAATAAGGAAAGGTAAAGAGAAATGAATACAAATAAAACTGGAAAGTAATTTCTCTGGAAAGTAAATTCGGCAGCACTTCGCGGTATGAATGCAGCACCCTTTCTGAAGTCCTCTGCTTCCCTTTTTATAGAAGTGGAATCCCAACGGTTATCTCTGAGGATGATGGACCTTGAGGCAGATAATTTAGGGAGTAGTGGTCCACTCTGTGGGAATTGGAACTGCTCTTTTGACGTGTAATCTGAGTGGGGCGTTTTTGCCTGCATGACGGTCGTCACCCGTGTGACGGTCGTCATGAAGCTGTGACGGTCGTCACATCAGCAAAAACAGCTTGCTGCGCTTTTCATTGTATTTTCACTCCTTTTTCGTCCATATTTCATCTAAGATTGCTTCTTTTCTTCATGTTGCCTTGTTTAGACGTGATCGTTGAATACCTGCAAAACATCAGACAAATATACGGAAATAACCCGAAATCGGATCGAAAACGGTTAGATTTTAGTTGAATTATGCATGAAAATATCTATATGATTTCGTGTTATCAAACTCCCCTAAGCTTGAATCTTTGCTTGTCCTCAAGTAAAACATGGAAAAGCCGGCAAGCACGAGGCAACTTCTTCGTTCGCAGAGTTTGGAAAAACCGGGATTCTTGGTAGGAACAAGACGAGTATCATGACGACACTGGACTACAAGTCTTCGGAGGTCTCCTTTTTATGCAAATCGGTCTCAGTCATGCTACTGTATCTTGGTGTCAAGGTTCTCGTGGCAAGTTCACCCTGTTTGTTCTAGCGCAATCACATTAAGCCCGTTGTCTGCACACTTTCATGGCAAGTCGACCTGTTAGTGAATATGATCTCATTTCTGTTTTTGATCTTCTTCATTGATCATAATTTTGTGTCATTGATTTTCAATGAGTTTTTCGTGCCGTTGGGCTAAATGCTCGGGTGAGGAGCACCTAACTTAGAAGGAAACGTATCTTATATTCTTGGGCTTTTTAGCTCTCTTTTCATGATTTTTCATCTTTTTGGAGATCATACACTTATTTGCATCGGTCGCTCGCTTAGAAGAGTTTTAGGATGGTGCTGACTGCTAGTATAAACTACTTGAGGTTGAGTTTGCGTAGACACTTGAGACTTTGGTACACGTAGGTGGTGAAACCGACTCGCATAAACTAGAGATCTAAGGTGTCTGGACGATACTGGTTTTGTTAGAACTGTCGTTTCCTCGGAGTTTCAAAACTTGGTTTGAACTCAGGTGCATTCTCGTGGTGCTTTTGCTTTTGAGGAACGAACTAAAATTTTTGTTTACGTTGAATAATGTTGGGGTTGTTTGCGTAACGTGAAAAATATATAGACGAGCTTTATTTTCTAGAAATAGAAAGTGTAAAAAAATAGATATTACTAGAATTCAAAGTGCAGTGAAATGGAAATAAAGGAAATAAAGGAAATTCAGAGTACAGTGGAATGGAAATAAGGCTCCGCTCCCACACTATCTCGATCAGTGTCCTCACTGATTCTTGAAGCATGCGAGAGGGAGATACAACTGAAAATGAAAATACAAAGAACTGAAATATAGTAAACAATGAAGGAAAAATGGAAATCTAGTCTCGGCCTCTGTCACGTCCGCGCTGGCGTCCTCTGGCTCTAGCAAGGGCTACTCTATCCTCATAGCTCATGGCTCCGGTGTGGTAGACGGTGTCTCGGAGTCCTTCGACCTGCAGGGTCAGATTCGCTAGGCTCTCAGTGATCGTAGCTTGGCCGGTGTGAAG